CTCTCTCTCTCTTCCTTTTCGATCGCCTTCCTTTTGAACTAACAGTCATCGCCTTTTAGAGCTTCTCGTCCCCGTACCGGTGACGTCAACCGCCTGCGTCCGCGCGGACGGTTGACGCCCCCGCCAAGGGGAGAAAGCTTAGATTTCGTCATCCTCCCCCTACGCACCCACTTTTGAGAGAGAAGAGTTGCGACGATTGTTGTATGGATTCGGTGTTGGTTCGGATGACCGGGAACGCGGGATCTTGCCCATGTTCATCACGTACCTCCGATCGTCTCATTTCGCTACCGACCTTCTTCATCAAAGATGACGACAACAACTACTGCGATGCGGACGTACGGCGCACGCTGAGGCGGACGGAGCAAGTGTGTTGGCAAGACCCGCCTCGGGCTTGTGAGATAAGGGGGATCGGGTTTGTGTTGATTGATCGCTTTGATTCCCCGACTCTAATATTGCCTTATACGGGTTTAACGGTGTTGCCCTGGTCGGCCGCTCACGCCGCGTGGCGACCGCAGTTTGATTGTCGCTGGTGTCGGCAGGGGGACTCGTGTTCGTGGCGACGACTGGTCCTAGGTTACGAGGGAGCGACACGCTTCCCCGAGCTTTCCCGTAGTGCGGGGCCGCTGCCCGCGCAATTTCGAATTCAGATGCCGGCGAGTCCTCCCGCCGCTTTACCCTCCCAGAAACTTTCGCACGGGCTCTATGAGTCCGACGTCAAGGCCTGAAGACTTCGAACCCACCACCTATCCCGGAAACCCATGATGGTCGGAGTTTTTGCCGTCTGCCGCCATGGCCTCCTCCCCTTGATGCCTTTTCCTGTCCCGATGCACGACGACAATTCATTTTCACAGAAACCCTTCTGATTTTATCGTTTCCGAGTAGTCCGACCCCCGTGGGACTTCGCGACGACAGTTCGACTCCGAGAAAAACCTCGGCCAAGAAACGAGAGCCTCCCGTTTCGTCCGGGAGACTCAACCCTTACGGCCAAAAATCCTCGGCCACGCCCCTCCTAGAACTCTGATCGGCGACCCCGTACGGAAAGCTGCGAGGGGGCGTGAGGTTGGTATCAGAGCTGATTTGTTTCGGCTCCGAGGTTTTCCTAGGACGATTATCTTGGTTTAAAGTTTTTCTTTTTGATCTTTTTATTAGATTTTTTGCTTTTTTTGAGTAGGCTGGCTCCCCGTCGACGGAGGCCCGCGAATAACAATCCGAACCGAGCGAGAGGCCGGGCTCGGGGTCCGCCTCCCGCGATGGTTGAACCTGGGATTGGGGGTGGAAATGACGGCGACAACCACGCGGGGATGGCTGATCATCCCCTGTATTTTGTACCTCCTCCCTCCGAAGTTCCCATTTCCGAAGATGACAGCAACCCTCGCACCTGGCTAGCTGCCTTGAAAACCCAGGGCTGGTCGGATCAGTTGCTCCGAGAACGAATTCCCGGAAGGTTAGCCGGAACCGCTTTTGAGTGGTATGGACATAACCCCTTCACTAATTGGGCAGCCTTCCAGAGGAAATTTCTCGATAGATTTGATCACATCGCACCAGGTCAATGCCTCCGTTTAATAAAGGAATACACGCAGCAGCCTCGGGAGACCTTGGCTAGAAATGCTGAACGTTTTACGTACTTAGCCGAACGCTCTAGGGTGGACGAGAAAATGGTACGGACTGATTTCGTAAGAGGATTGTCAGATTCTCGCCTGCGGAAAAAGATCGGCAAGAAATGCAACCCTATAGAACATACCCTGACGGAGGTAATTCAGTACGCCATTAAGTATGGAAAGGAAAATTACGATGTGGGTCTGGACTCCGAATCCGACGAAGACGACCCTTCAGGTGTTCAACGCAATAGCTACTCCGCTACGGCACGAATGTTCGAAGATCGCTTCGGGCTGGGTCCAACAAAAAAAGGCTCGGATCGGAAAGCTTCGTCCTCTGCTCCAACCTCCCGTTGCTCCGGGCGAGCTCAAGGAGGCCGGGGCGAGGAAGAAGCTTCCATGAAAGAGGTCGCGGCCCAACTAGTAACGGTAGTGGCCCCGTTGACGGAGTTTGTTCAAAGTCTGCAGCGACAACGCATAGCCGCCACACAACGGCAACAGGCGGCTATGGCCGTCGGGGCCCCTATGACCAGACCGGCCGTGGTCGGGGCTGTCCCGCCCCTGCGTTGTTATAACTGTAATCAGCCAGGCCATCTTGCGAAAGATTATCCGAAACCTCGAACTCAGAGTGGGCCCGCGGGGCCCACTGGACCTTCCCAAATCCCGCTGGCTGCTCCCACTGCTGTAGGACAGGGGAGGGTAGCCACGGTGATGGATACTGGGGCAATGGAGATGGTGACCCCTGCTGCCACTGAGATAGGACCCGATGAGTGTATGGCGGCAGCAATGTTCGAACCCGGGACCATAAGAGTAATACGTCACGTCCAACGGATTACCGAGGAAAGCGACCTCGGGCCGTGGCGACCAGGACTCGAGGATCTTGCGGTACCTGGTCCTGAATACAAGGATGGCCATATCGACGTATTGGATGCCTTGAAGGCTCCGGATCTTCGGATCCCCGTCCCTATTCCATATCTGCTAACCATTTTCGAAGCGGCTAACGAAAAGTTGATCGAACGGTGCCTCAAAAACAGGCGCCGATTCGAGGAAAGTCGAATGGGCAAAAAACCGGTTGTACGGGACCCACCCACTAATGAGGAGTCAGAACCCTCGACCTCAGAGGTGCACGAAGCCAACCAGATAGGGATGATCTAGACCGTAGATTCTGCCTCGGAAAAACCCGAGGTATTCCTCTGGGCCTATCCTATAACCTGGAAAAGCGTAGAGTGTGACTGTGAGGTCTGGGGAAACCCCTTGGCCGCCATCCTAGTCTCGGGATCATCGGCGGTCGCCATTTCTTGGAGATTGATGAAACAGTTGGGAAGGAAAGGACAGGTTCAGCCCCTCCGGTCGGATGAACTGCATATATCCGCTACGGAAGATAGTATTCATTGTAAAGGGCGAATAACGAACGTGCCTATACGGGTGGGGCGGGTGCATTGTTTGTGTGACGTGATCGTGCTGGATGTACAGGCATATGATGTTCTGCTAGGCATTCCGTGGCAGGCGGCGGTCGGAGCGCGAATGCACTTTGACAGCTGTAAGGTGGTGCTCACATCGGCCCACCCCAAACCCCAAACGATACCAATGAGACTGGCGGTGCGCATGCGCACCCAGCCGGCGCCTCGCCTCACCACTAAAGCCCATCAAATCAACATGATCCGACGCCTGTCACCAAACGAAAATGAACCCTCGACGGAAACTGACAAGACTGATGTACCCGACCGATATCCGATCCGAGTTCAGGATGGGTGGCGCCATTCTTGGCGGCGAGAACCATTTGAAATAGTTTGACGTTCTCCTCCGTGGTGCAGGAGGAACCCCTGCTAAGGGTGTCCCGAATAGCTGACCTTTCAGAACCCCTTGCGTCCTTGTATCTCAGGACGGACCCCCTACCTGAAAGATTTACCGAGCTGAGGGGGCTGTGTGATTTATCTTTTCGACCCCCACGGCCCCTACTCACGAATGAAAAAGCCGCGATACTCCTGAAAGAGGGGGTGTCGTTTCAACCCCGAAACGAGGGAGTATCGGTGGGGACCGAGGGAACTGGCGCAGGCCTTTTCGGTCGAACCCTCGGCCGAACCCGAACTGGACAGTGACAGTGACGTGGAAAGCGAGCCGATGAGTCCAGCGGACAGTCAACTTATTGCGACTGTCCTTTCGGCGAAAACCGATAACTCTTTGTTTGGGGCCTCACCCGAGGCCAACGCGGCGGTCTCCCTTCCTGGGGGAACCGTGGAAGTTCAGTTACCAACCCGTGTTCCGGATGAATACAGACGCCTCCTCCTGGCGGTTATACGGGCCTATCCTGAGGCCGTCAGTATTCAAAACCACGACATAGGGCTAACCCCTTTGATACAACACGCGATTGATACCGGGGATCACGCCCTGATACATTGCCGACCGTACCGATATTCCCTTAAGGAAAGACAACTGGCATTGGAAAGGGTACGGGAATTCGAGCGGTTGGGGTGGGTCGAACCACGTGGCAATGGGTCCGGTGTCCCATGGGAATTTGTAACGCCACTGCAACGTTTCAGCGGGCCATGAACATGGCCTTCACTGAGTTCGTTAACAAAACCCGACTAACCCAGCCCCTGATCAATTTCTGCGTGATTGTGTACATGGATGATATTTTGGTCTTTTCAAAAACACACGAGTACCACGTGGAACACATTGAGTGGGTTTTGCATGCACTRAARGATGYRGGGTTCAAAGTGGCCTTGGAGAAAAGCGARTTCTTCTTGTCGGAGATCTCATTCTTGGGGTATATCGTCACGGTCGACGGACTAAAACTGGATCCGAGGAAGGTGGCAGCAGTTCAAGACGCCCCGGCGCCGGTTACACTCACCCAGGTTCGGGCTTTTCTAGGGCTGGCATCCTATTACCGACGCTTCATCAAGGGGTTCGCCRGTATAGCGAAGCCCCTCACGAACCTGCTGAAGAAAGAGGAACAGYTGATCTGGACGCCGGAATGCGAAGCGGCGTTTCAGGCGTTGAAGGAGGCTCTGACATCTGCTCCTGTGTTGGCGCGTCCCGACCCGACAAGACCGTTCGCACTGCACACCGACTGGCAGCCTCAGGCGATATCGGCGGTGCTGACTCAGCACGGGGCGAACGGAAGGGAACACGTCATTGAGTATGCGTCTAAGACGCTGAGCCCGGCGCAGGCTAATTACGAAGCGTGCAAAGGCGAGTGCCTGGCGGTGGTATGGGGAATCCAGCATTTCCAACCGTATCTTTACGACCAGAAATTCGTGCTGGTAACGGATCATCAGCCGCTGCTGTCCCTACGCAATAACACGGACTAGACGGGGACGCTGGGCAGGTGGGCGGTGCGTCTGCAAGACTATGACTTCGACATCCGCCGCCGTGCCACGCGGCAGCATGGTAACGCCGATGGATTGACGCGCCTCCTGCCGCCCAACAAGTGTCCCGCCAACGAGCGACTCATTCCGTGGAGGCCAGAAGTCGCGGCGACGAAACCGCACTACGGGGAGCTACACGTGCTGCGCAAGAACGACGCCTGAGTCCGGAATGGAGGTTTCGCCGGAGATGGCGGACGCTATCTCTTTGCCCTCATCCAACTCCCTCGCTCTCTCGTCTAGTCCCTACTCGTCCCCTGAAACACATCTAAGTCCCTGTTTCCTTTGTACCTTGCCTATGGTCCCGGACCAAGAAGGGTCACATCCGGGAGGGCCCAGTTTTCTTTTATGGGTACAGTGTAGTCAGTGTCATACGGTCAAATCTTACGGACAGTGCGTTAGGTACCGAAGTGAAAAGACATGGGTCTGTCCCAACTGTAGAACGGACCAAGTCTCTACCGAGAAGCGGTATCTGGACGCCAGAACAACCGACGGATTTGCGCCAAGTGCCCGCCGGGCAGAAGTCTCGACGGACCTTTTGTTGCTACGGAGGCTGTCAGGCGACTCGCTGTCAGAACTTACCAAAGCCGAGCGGCGGAGAGTCACGGAGCGGGCGCAGGACTATCGCTGGCAGGGACCGACGTTACAAAAACGAAAGGTCGATGATGACGGAGCGTCTAGCTGGTTGAGGGTTCCACACCCTCTCGCTAGGTTCGATTGGACACGAGCCGCTCGTGAAGAGGATGCGTTCCATTTCGCGGTCAAGTACACAAAAAAAACCATCGAAAAGAACGGATAGTACTGGTCGGGAATTCGGGAAGATGTGAAATACACCGTCCAGAATTGCCCAACCTGCGCGGCGGACAAGGCGCCGGTACAGATGCCTCGGACGATGGTGCCCACTCGTGTAGAGCGCCCCTTTCAGAGGTTAGCATCGACACGACGGATATCAACGTTCCGAGAGGTCCCGTCGATCAGGGAGAGCTCGATGTTCTTTTAGTGGCCATTGATCATTTTTCGAAATGGATCGAGGCATACCCTATGACCAGCCGGAATTCGCAGGAGGTAGCCTGGTATGTAAATCGATTTTTGTGCATGCATCTAGACGTAGAAGAGGTACACATGGACAATGGGTCGGAATTTCAAGGCGAAGTAGAACGTCACCTCGTCAGGGCAGACGTTAAGATTATCTACTCGCCGGGGCATTGGCCCCAAGCCAACGGCCTGGTAGAGAATGTCAATCGACTGATTAAGACCGCCCTTAGACGGAATATCACTGCGGGAGACACCCGACCCTGGCTGGTCATTGTCGATCATATTTTGGCCGTTTATCGGGCTACCCCACATGGTAGTACTGGGGTGTCCCCCTTTCAACTGAGAACCAATAGTGTCCCTCGGGTGCAGTTGTCCCCCTTGGTAGGTACGAAAGTTAGAGCAACACGGGCCAAGCACAGAGATAAGGCCCGCCACTATATGGACTTAATGGCTAGGGCCCATCCCCCGTTAGCGCGCCAGCGACAGCGGGCCGTAGATCGGACGCATCAACGGAAGATCCGCGACTACGAAAATCGACATGCGTCCGCGGGACCACTGCCTCGCTATAAAATAGGGGACTTGGTGCAGGTACAGAAATCCGCGCGCTCCTCCAAAATCCACCCACGCTACACAGGCATTTACGAGGTGATGGAAGTTGGCGCACGAGGCCAGCACTCCGTGAAGCTGGTTTCCAAGCACAACTCGCAGGGCCGCCCGTTGACAAGGCACGCTGCTGCCCTCCGGCCTTTTCGGCCATCGCTAGATCTCGTGCGGCCACCTGTCCTGCCCGAATCACCTTCTTCGTCTCTCTCTCGTGCTCCTTCGTCCTCGCCTCCTTCTTCCCCTTCTCTCCGATCAGCATCGTCGGCATCCGCGGAAGACCTTGCCTCGCAAGATGAACCATCGCCAACAGGAGCATGAACTGCTCGAGCACTTCCAGCCGCCAATCTCGGATTCTCTTCTCCGAAACCGGGTCAACGATGATCGGCAGCTGCGCTTCGACATTCAGCAAGTGAACGTGTCGGCTCCTAGCGTTGCCGACTTGGCGGTGTACTCGCTCCTCGGGCAGCGGGTAACGTACGCGGGCATCTATGTGGACATATCGCCCGTGCCTGGTCAGGAATCCACGCGAGTGTTCATCGAGTTCCGAGCCATCCAGGTGGCTACGGACTTTGTGTACTGCATCGCTACTTTCACCGGGGACTTAACCGTCTTGCCCGGGCACGATCGGGAGCCGGCGTATAGGTTCTTGCGCGATTACGCCCTCCAGGTGGCGAGATCGGTGGCACGAGTGCAGGCGAGGGGCACTCGTCGCTTCACCGCATACGAAGGACTTCTGCGGCGGACTCCGAAGGGAACACTTGCATTGGTGCCGCAGCTTCCCGCACTCCTTCCTCCCGCCGAGCCCCTCAACATCCAAGTTGTCTCTCCCCCTTCTCTCTAAATGCCTCCCTTCTTCTCTTACACTACCCTCCCTTACCAACTGACACAGCTCCCCTATCCTATGCGCAACTTCCCCGAGTACCTGGTGGAGCTGACGGACGTGGAGCAGTTGCCGCCCGCTGACGAGGATGCTTGGGAGTTGCACCGGGCGCTTTATTCATCGGTGGTGCTGGGCATGTTTACATATTTCATGGAGCACGAAGTTCATAACGTCGGCGAGCTCCTCTACGTATACTACGTGATCGCCAAGCCGAAGCCGGAGCGGAAGGAGGGAACGGTGGCGTTTTACCCTTTTGGGAGGATCGGAACGAATCGCCCGGGGCTCTTACAACTCATTGACATCGAGTTGTTGTCCATCGCGCAGGTAATCGCCGCGGAAGAAGAAGACTTGCAGCTCAGACTGCGGACCGCCTCAGCCCCGTGCAAATCGTATAACGCGGCGGTGATACCTGACTACCTGGCGCGTGAGGGGGAGTCCGTGGTGGACTTCGGGCACGAAGATAAGCCGCTGCGGCCTCCATCATCGTATCCAAAGCAAGTAGCCCTGAAGGCACCGAGAAAGAGATCCGTCCCGAAGCGGCGACGAAGTCCATTGCCGGAAGCTCAGGCCAGTCGAGTGGGGCCTGTCGAGGAGGTCGTCCAGCCTGCGTCGGTGCGCGAAGTCGATCCGGTCTGTGAGAGAAGAGCCGCGCTCATCATCGGGCCCCGACTGGGGGAGGACTGCCCCGCCGAAGAACCGCGGAGATCCATAGGCCATCGGGAGTCGACACCTCAGCGGCCCCGCCTCCCCAATCTCAATAGCCATGCAGCCGGGCCATCAGGCACAGGGGGGGGATTGGGACGAGTTCCATATCCTGCATCCAGACCCCCCCTCCTTGCAGGACCGTTCCGATTTCGCTCGCCCACCCGGGATACCCCGGTCACTGACATTAACAGTTCCCCCGAGCCGGACGGTCCATCAAACCGACGTGGATCACATGGTGGAACTGGCCACCATCCGGCTTGAGGTCATCGAGGGGGCGCCGCGTCCTGATCCGGCATGGGAGGCGTTCTTGCAGCCTCCATTCGACGGATGTATAGCGGCGAGGTTGGTGGGCACGCTCATCTACGAGACCGTCGGGCGGCCCAACATTATGTACCATATCCTGGTCTTCGCGGCGGTTAAGCGGGAGTGGATGCCATACACGGAGACCCATCTAGTGCTGACGGGTCCGAAAAATCAACCGCTGCGACGATGAATCATTCGGGCGATCGCCGATCTCGCGCCCCGGGTCCTCTCACATGTGCCGAGGGCTTTCCTCTACCCCTCCTTTGTCCAGCACCACTTCAATGAAGTGGAAGTGCCAGCCAACTTGGCCGCGCTCGCGGCGTTTCTCCCTCCTGTTCCCCCCCCTCTCAATCTGGAGATTGATTACTTCCTATGATCATCTCCACCMCCACCACCTCTTTCTTTTTCTTCTTCTTTTCCGGATCTAAAGCTCGCGCGATGATACGCGCTGTGTATAAAAAAAAAAAAAACCTTACCGATCGGGCCAGCTGACGATGAAGGGGCCGCCCGATCGAATGTATACTATGGGAGGAGGCGATGGAGGATGCAGGATGCATCCACGTAGATTAGGAAGATGATCGGGCGAGCTGACGATGAAGAGTCCGCCCGATCATCCAAGATACGATGACATTAGCAGTCGGGAGACTGCTAATTTTTCGGAACCCCCTGCGTATCACAGATGTGATAAGCTCAGATCCGTACCGCACGGCTTGCCGTATCCCTGAAGAAAAATCCCGCGGAAGCCCCGAAGTACGGACGCGGATAAAAAGGGGTTTTTCTTTCTTTTTGCTTTTTTTTTTTTTTTTTGAAACGACTTTTTCATTTTGTTTGGTTAACAACTCCCGCGGGCGAATAGCGGTCGCGGTATGAAAACCAAGAAACGGGTGCGGTTGGGACTTTTTGAATTTTTGCGCGCGCGCCCAAGCTCCGATTTCTTCGCGCGTCTCGCATCCCCGTTTCTTGCTTTGCATCCTCGCGCCATCTTCCCTTCTTGTTGCGCGCGTTTTCCCCATGCAGGACTCTTCGTCTTCCCCTACGCCCAGCTTGATCCTTACCCCGTCTTCCTCCGCGAAGTGATTGGCTGCGTAGTTGGGATGCTCGGATCAATGTGGAAAGCGGGAAACCGCGCACCACTTGGACAAACACCCCAATCACGTAGCCATGCAATCCCGCGAGTCAAACCCTCTAACTCCCCACCTCTCTCTCCAGTCCAACTCATCTACACCCTGTGCTGCCCGCACCTCGCGCTGTTAACCCGCCGCCTCCCGCGCTATAAATTTGTGCAAGCCTCTCCTCTCCTCCTCTTTGATCTCGGCTGCAATGCTGCGCGAGCTATGCGCGAGAGTCCGCGGCGCCGAACAGGCTCGACGAGCCCAAGGACAGGCGGAGTGACGACGTGGGGTGGACCCCGCGGTAGTCTCGGGGCGAAGCAGTCGGAGGGACTGACCAGTGGTGGGGATTGGACACCGGCCGCGGCAGGGCCTTGTGGCTATGGTGGTCGGTGGTCTTGGGAAGTTTTGAAGGCTGCGCCTGGGGGCAGCAGTTAATTGAAATTTTTGTGAACAAGAAGGACTCGCTTTTATCTCCATTGCTGCTTTGTCTATGCATGTCATGTGTGTGAAGCCCCGAGTGATGGGAGCTAGTTATGCGCATGAGTGACGTCGAAGGTCCATGGATGATTAGATGTCCTGTCAAGGGTTGTTGATTGCATACATGTATGTGTGTATGTACTCGTTCGGGCGGGGATGGGGAAACTGAACTGGGGGACCGTCTGCTTAGGAGTATGAGTGTGTTGATCCGGTTGTTCCCCTCCCCTCCGCGGCCTTTCCTGCGCTCTCGCG